TAGAAGCGAGTATCGGATGAGCCACAAGTAGGATCATCCCTAGGTGTAGAATGGGCATTAGGCCCAGTATGTACTAACAAGTAACGAATCAGACGAAGGAAAGGGGCGCAGAGTCGTGACAAAGTATTCTGAAAATATTGTATTAAAATAAAAGACAAATGTTTTCGTCTGTATCTGGAGTATCTAGAATTCTAGACCATATCCAGTGAACAAAGTGAATTAAAAAAGAATATGCATAGCAAACGACTACATTTTACGCTTATAAATTACCAAACGACAATTATAACGATAAACAATAATTTGTAAATTTTCTGAAAGATGAATCGGACTTCGTGAGCCTCAGAATCCATACAGATTATTCCAATAATATTGCACCATCATGGTATTAAAATACAAGACAAAAGTTTTGGTCTGTATCTGGAGTATCTAAACCATCGCCAGTGAACAAAATGAATTAAAAAAGAATATGAAAGACACTGTTACAAATACAACATTACAAAGAATTTCTTTATGTCACAACATTATAAGAATTTCTCATATTTATAAATCTAAAACATTTTGAGATTTATTATATATATTTTTCGGTAAACATATCACGAAATTTGAATTAATCTGATAAATTTTCTGAAAATTTTATCTTGAATTTAAATTATTTAAAATTGTTAAAAATTTTTGAGAAACTATGAGATTATTTTTTATCAGAATATAAAGAACGTAATGACTTTATCACCTAAAAGTTATCTCTAAAAAATGATACAAAAGTGAGATGGCAGTTCATAAATTATACATTTCAAACATACATTAAAATATTCGCATTTATTTTTAAAAAAGTTATGCCTTTTAAACATTGTTAAAGTGCATGCAAACAAGAGAATGAACAAATAACTGTTGTATATAAAAGAGATAATTTCGTTACAATTGATTCTGGAAACTTCATATATGAAGTCTATGTACGTCCAACAGAGTTCGTTGGGATCGTTTTTTGGAACCCTGCACGTTTGTAACCCTCCTCTATTATACAACTCCAAAGTCCAAACCTCAGACGTTTCATTCGGTTTGTCCGTGCGAGGTTATGACGCGTTAGTAAAGCTCAAATCGGAAAATAGGAAATTTTATGGAGCAATCCGTTGTAAATTTAAATTTAGCTCCACAAAGAACATTTTTTTATTTTCAGATGGACAACACACTGATTGATCTCCGTTTTATATATATAGGTGCTGTTTTAGAAGCCTTCCCTGACGGCAATTTGACAGGCGGAGGAGAAAATGTTCCACACAAGTAATCAACGGGAAATCTAGCCACTCAAAGTTGTTTTAGAACCCTAGTAATTGTATGTAAGTATCGTGTGAATAAAGTATCGAAAGTGGATCATATCTTAATTTTAGAAAATGTAAATTATAAGAGAGATAACTGATTAAGGTACATATGTATATTTGACTATATTTAGTTCGTTTTTTGTAGGAATTTTCATTTTTATTAATACACCTACACAATTGCGTACAGAACAACGAAAACACTATTCGATGAATTTTAGAACATTTTAAAATGAAATATTCTATTGTCTCCCCTTTCGATTTTGATATTGCTTGATAAACTCAAGAAGCACGAAGATTTCAACTGTTTTGTTTGCGAGTATAAGAAGTAACTCCATGATGACCCTATAATTGGGATCTGATACATTCGAGATGCTTTATCTGATTTAACTTAGACGTATTTTAGGTCGTATTTGACGATAATGATTGTCTTTCTGCATCAGAATTTCTACTTTGCAAACTTTTTGTTCAATTTAGAGATTTAAAAGTTTTGCTTTTCGTTATGCTAGTTTTTCAATTTTTTTTTGCATTCTAGATGGAAAATAGTAGAGGATATTAATATGATATTATGCTTCCATTGTTCCTTTCTCATTATACTAATTTTATTATACTAATGTATAGCATTAGATAAATAGATGGTATCGTTTGCGCTAGCATTTATTGATGTTTCTTGTTTGTGACGTTACTTTGTACAGTCGTGGTCAGAAAGGTTGTTCGACGTTTTATGATAAACGGAAATGCAGTTTATCATGCGAGATATTATAGCTTTTGCTCACGTATATGTGCAGTGACGCATTATTAGAGCAAAAGAATTATATGTACGAATGTCTATGTAATGATACATACGAATATTCCGAAAACTTATTGTAAAACGTCGGACAATCTTTCCGACCATTACCGTACAGTACTGTGCATTAATCCAGTTCGAGTAATAATTAAGGATGGACAAAACTTACTTGATTATTTAAACATAGCATGCTTTTTGATGATACGACCCGAACCGAATTAATGCATCGCGCTGTATATACAGGATATATCATTTTAATTGACCACCCCCAAACACTTTTTTATTTGTGGTTTTAGAAGAAACTGCTTCAGACAAAAGTTGTTTGGTTTGAAGGAGAACACATTATATTCCGATGTGTGATATTATATTCCGATGTGATTTACGTTGTAGATGTCGTCGTGTTCAAGAAATTTCAAAGGCGAATTTTTTAAAAGGCACTTGATGTTTCCTTAAGATAAAAGTTGTAGTTTTCGTCTCGAGATGTTTTCAAAATATTATAATAATGTATTTATTAAGGATATTTTATTATTACGTAAAATGTTCGTTGGCACTGTAACTTTCAAGCCTCATAACTCGGAAAATAATTTCATAAAGGACTTAAGAAGAAAATACTTTATTATCACAGTGTTGTGAAATCGTCCCGAGGTAAGATGCAGTCGACCGTCAATGCCACTTTGTTAATATTTTGTTTACTATCTGATTAATGGCAATGTGTTTTAATTGTTAATGTTAGACCAGTTAGACTGTTAATACATTGAGTGACGCGTGTAAGCTTCTCTAAGTTTATGATGTTAAGTTTGAAAAGTCTAGCTAAGTCTACTCAAATCAAGTGATAAGTAGTATAATATTGTATCCTTGTTTGCTAAGATCTTTTACTGTTTCATTTCATCGAAAGTGGATTTATTTAACATATTTTGAGAAATGTGAAATACATATGTGAAATCACGACTCTATGACTCGAGTAGCCAGTTTCTCTCTATGCCAGTATGTAAAAAGTTGGAGGTGGCAATGTTTTCTCGTCATTGGCGTAACGTACCACATCCTTGACCATTAGTGCCAATTTATTAGTTTATTTACACGAATACTGACAGTTTTTGTACTCTTATATTATATATTTATAATTTCATATTATATATTTATAATTTTTTAATGTAATTATATAATATTATATGAATGCTATTATATAATATTTGATGAATATATATTTAAAACAAAAATATTAATTTTTCCTTTTCTTATCACTGTGTTTACTATCCAGGTGTAATGTAGGGTCATGATCACATCGTCGCGATGTTATTAAGAATTTTACCTGGGCGATCGGGTGCAGTTATACAATAAGGTATTAAAGTCATTTCTGTGATTTCTTTTTTGCATTACAAAGTGATTATGAAAGCCTACTGATTATGCAAAAGTATTCCAATTTTTATCTACTCTGAAAAAAGTCGTAAATGAAATCGGTCGTAAATTAATTATTGTTGTCGCTTTTCCGTGATACTGTCTTGTATTTTCATCGAAAACTCATGCAATCCGTTATTTCGTCATCTGGCAATATACCGTCAGAGAAACTCGAAACGACCAATCACATACGTGGAAACAAGATGACAATGTGCGCGATATATTTTAACTTTAAAACGTGTACTTCTTGGAACAAATAATTTTTTTCATTATGAATGGATGGATCCCTTACAGAAATGTAACAACTAGGAACGAAAAAAGCTCTGAACAATTACTAGAGTTCAGTAATTGAATTATTAGAAATTACTGATGTACAGTAATTTTCTAGTAATTATTTCGCTTATATTACTATAAGGGATGGAATAGAGTGGATGTAATGGATGAAATGGGCTAGAATAGAATAGAATGGAATGGAACTTTCAAAGGTGGGGATCTTCAGCACTACTAAGTGTTTGAAAGCTTAAATATTATTTTATAAAAAAATACGAGGCGTTGTAACCATAGTTTATATAATTTGCACAGTATTTTTTAACTGGGGCACCTTGTCCCGACCTATCTTGTATTTCAGCAACCAACCATATCTCTTTCTTCGTCAATCTATGTTTAATTTCGCAAATGCATTTTTTTAAATAATTGCAGCAAGTTATCACTTTCAGTGTCAAACACTGTGTAATAGAACATCTAAAATGACGGAAGTTGAAGAATGGATGTGGAAACATTACACAAAAGAAAATCCTGACACAGTAAAGTGTAATCGTTGTGAAGAAATTTTCTCTAATCACGCTAGACTGCAAATCTTAAAGTATCACTTATACGATGAACATGAAATAACAGAATTAGACGAACATCCAGAACGTGACAAAATACAGCAAAACTATAAAATAACATGTCTAACGGCAACGTGCAACCATTGTAAGAGAGAAAGTAATTTAGCAATTAATGGCGTGCATAATTTAATAATGCATTTAAAAATTATTCACTTGGATAAATTAAAGAAGAAAAAAAGATCATTTATATGGGACAAGTTTGATGAAAATGACGACAAAGTGATATGCAAACAATGTAAGAAAACGTTAAAAATAAAAAATAAAAGGAATCCAATAACACGTTTAAATCGTCATCACTTACTGTATTGTCGGTAAGTATACATATGAGAAACTTTTAAGAGATTGATGGGTGTAAAATGGGTACAATTACGAAGTAAAATAATATCTAAAAAAGTGGGAATATACAGATGTATTAGACGAACCACATCAGGTATTTCTTTGTAAAACTACGCATTTGAGCCGAAACAAACGCTTGATACGGTCGCTCTGATACACCCTGTATAATAGCAATATACAGCTATTTCTAAAAAAAACAATTCATTATATCTTAACATGTCAATTTTATTATATATGTCACTTAAAAAATATTGCTTAAATAAATATAATTTAAAAAATAGGAAGCAAAAAGTATCAGTATTGGACAAGTTCGATGTAAAGGAGAACAAGGCAATATGCAAAGTATGTGAAAAAATAATATCAATAAATAGTAAATGTCCTAGAGTAAAATTAAAGCAACACTTATTTTATTGTCGGTAAGTACACATAGAAGAGAAACGTTCGAAATATTGATGAGTGATAAATGAAATGAATATATATTGTTGAAATATGCAGTTATTATATATAAAAATAATTAATGTTATTGCATTTATTCTTTTTCATAAACCACTTAAATTTTGATTACCTAAGTAATGAGAAGAAACTGCCAAGACCATCACAAATATGGGAAAAATACGAAGACAATGGAGACCATGGAACATGCAAACAATGTGGAAAAACAATAAAAATCAATTCTAATAATCGGACAGTAAATTTACACCAACACTTGCGTTACTGTCGGTAAGTGTATACGAATAACACTTGAAATGTTAATAAGTATAAAATAAACATAATAAAATAATGTTTAAGGAGAGTGTAATAATGAAAATATGTGATATAAAAATTTACATTTTATTGCATTTATTCTGTCATAAGGCCATTAAATCACGGTTCCCAAAGTGAAATTGAGCGGAAAAAGTCTCAAAGAACATCAGAGGTATGGGACGAGTTCGATGTAAAGGACGACAAGGCGACATGCAAACAATGTAAAAGAACAATAAAAATAAATTTTAATTACTCAACATCAAATCTACGCGAACACTTGTATGATTCGTGTGTATATCGGTGAGTACACAAACAAATAAGATTTGAAATATTGGTGGGTATAAAATAAATATAATAAGATAATATTTAAGAAAAGAGTGAAAATATGCAAATATTGTGAAAAATAACTAATTTTACATTTTATTGTACCATATGTATTCTTTCATAAGCGACTTAAATCTCGATCACCTAAGGAAAGTTCAATTGAACAAGGAACAACACAGATCAGAAATATGGGATAAGTTTGATACCGACGGAGGGAGTGCGACATGCAAACAATGTAACAAAACAATGAAAATAACGCCTAAGAATCGAATATCAAGGTTACAAAATCATTTGCGTTTTTTTTGTCATAATGACATAAATGAATAATTTGAAATACTAATGGGTTTAAAATAAATGTAATGAAATAATATTTAAAGAAAGAATGAGATAATATAATGGAAATATACAGTTATTGCAAAAAAATAACAAATTTTACATTTTATTGCATTTATTCTTTTATATACCACTTAAATCTTAATCACTGAAGTAAAGATGAGTTGAGGAAAATGCGAAGAATATCACAAATATGGAAAAAGTTTGATGACAAGAGAAATAGTGCAATATACAAACAATATAAAAACAGAATGTTAATAAATGATAACAATCAAACAGCAAATTTACGTAACCACACGATATATGTATATTGTCAGTTATTTTTTATATAAAGTGGACCGTCATTTTTATACGCACTTTAATAGTGTGCAAAAATTTTGCAGTACTAAATAAAATAAAGTGTGCGATTGATCAATATATTTCTTAATCCTTTTCCTATTAGATTTAAATTTTGTTTTTAAATGTTATTTTTATTTTTATCTTACAAATAACAAATTAATAAAAATTCTAGAAAAGTTATAAATATCTCGGCCCACTTCTAAAACGTTTACCAATTTGTATAAATAATCCTGAAATATTTTCTAATAAAATTTTAAGTTATTAAAAAATTATAAAATTTACATAAAAATTCTAAGAAAAATTGTCACCAGGATGCTATTGATTTTTGAAATTTTATATACGAATTCCACGTATATCCAATAGAGTCCGCTGGGATCGTTTTCTGTGATTGCTGTATATTTGTAATCCCCGTCCCCGTCCATTATACAACTCCAGACCTCAGGTATATCATTCTATTTGTAAGGTTATGAAAGGTTCCGTTTGTGAGGCTCAAGTTCGAAAATACGACATTTCATGAAGAAATCATTTGTAAGTTTAAATTTAGTTTTACAAACAATATTTTTTACTCAGTGAACAATAACAGTTATATTAATATTATAACATAAATATAATTTTCTACTCAACAACGTAACTGTTTTGTACAACATTTTTATATCACATTTGTATTATTGAGTGGGAATTAAAAATATTGATATTACGTAACTGTTATAGTTGATACTTTCTGGCTATTTTTGAATGAGTAATACATCTATTTTGTATGCAGGTGCTGTTCTAAAGGCATTCCCTGATAACAATTTGACAGACAAAGAAGATAATGTGTTGGTTCCACTCAAGTAATCAGCGGAAAATTTAGTCACGCAAATTCTTCAGAACTAGTAATTGTAAAATGAAGTATCGAAAGTGGATCACATCCTAATTTTAGGAACTGTAAATTAAAGAGAGATAACTGATTAATTAGGTATATTTTTCATTACGTTCAGTTCGATTTTTTTACGTTTTATTTGCATTAAATACTTACACAATTGCAGACAGAACAAGACACTACCTACCCAGCAAACACAAAGTAACAGTTACATAACTGTAAGTTAAAATTTCCTACTCAACAATATAACTGTTACATAACACACGTGTTATATAACAGTTATATTGTTGAGTAGGAAATTTTAACTTACAGTTATGTAACTGTTACTTTTATGTTTGCTGGGTATTTGATACACTTTGGAACGTTTCAAAATAAAACACTTTGTTCCTTTCTCTCGATTTTGATATTGCTTGCTAAACTCAAGAAGCATGAAGTATTTTAACTGTTCCGTCTGCGAGTGTATAAAGCAGTAACATATAATATGACAAGAATTTCTGGAAGTAAAGATATCGAAAATTTTAGTGACTCTAATTGGGATCTGATTCACTTAAGATGCTTTATTTTACTTAATTTAGATGTCGTATTTCATCATAATTATCTCTCTGCAGGATTTCTCCTCTGAAAACTTTTTATTGAATTTGAAGATTTAAAAGTTTTGCTTTCTGTTATGCCAGTTTTTTTAATTGTTTGCATCCTAGATAGAAGAGAGTAGAGGATTTGTTTATCTTTATATTGATATGATATTATGCTTCTATCTTTTCCTTTCTTATTATATTAATATAATATATAGCATCAAGTAAATGGATGCTACCAATTGTGCTGTCATTTACTGATGTTATTTTGTATATTGTATGTACATATGTATACATATGTACATATATATACATTTTGTTTTACAAGATGTTTTGTTACTTTTTCTTACTTTTGTCTCACTTCGTAATATGTTTTTTTATCAGAAGAAACTTTTTAAAAATATATTCTTTTATAATTTGTACTGTTTGATTCAGTTGGAGACATATTGTAGACTTTTGTCAAGCTTTATATTTACAATAATGTTTGAAGAAAAAGTTGTTTTTTAATTATATTCGACTTACTTTGTAATTCTTAAAGAGGATATATTTATATTACTTTATAATACTCGTATTTCGTTTCTTACGATGTTAAGACGTTTACTTTGCGGTATTAACTTTAAATAGCTATATTTTGTCCAATTTTATAATTTGTGATGCAAGATTTGTGATATCACTATTCAATTTGTATAATATTCTTCTCTTTGTATATTAAAGTCAATATGATATAAAAAAAGAAGTCTTTTCTCCTTGTATATTAAGTCAATATTAAAAAGAAGTCAGCGAAACGTTGCCAAAGAAATAAATGCGATTATTGTGATCTTTTTCAAAACTATTTTTTAGCCATGTCAGTTTTATGTTCTATCTGAGGCCACGGTTGTATTTATGCTAAGCATCAGAGTCGTTCCAAACCGTGGTGCAACGGGTGCAGTGCATGTGACTGTTCACGTATCTTTAAAAATTATTGTACAACCAAAATAGAAAAAAATGGACAAAATTTTTATCGAACAAAAATAATCAAAATTAAAAAGATCTCAAATTTGCATGACCGACTCTCGCAAGGAATATTGACTCTCGATATGAATTCAAGTGCAATGCTACGGTGACTGAAAAAGAAAAATGGTTTTCAAACTTAAATCGATAAGAAATGATTTATTGCGTTTAACTATGTCTGAAGAAATGTTAACGAATCTAGTAACAGTTTCACTCAAACACGATATGGCGAGCAAATTGGAAGCAACGAAGCTTATCAAACAATTTGCTGAATAAAAGCACGTTTAATACAAAATAAAGATTTATGTCAGTTATTTTAGTTCAATCTGTGCAATGTTTATGAAAGTATTGAGATTTTATAACTGTTCTAAACTGTTGTATGAACACTGTGTTATATTAACTGTTGTGTTAACGTTCTGTCTACTTTAATAAATACAAAAAAAAACAATTAAAAAGTTCTGCACACTTTATTTAATATTTGAGAAACGTTTCTGTCAATTGTTAATGTAAGTTAATGCTCGATTTTGATCAATTATCAATAATTACATATATATATATATTGTATATATAAAAGTGACGTCAATTTGAACTGGTTTTGATTGAGTCGCATTGGGTTAAGTTGATAGGATTCATTAAGATTTAATGAAAGTTGATGTTGATTATCTGGGACTTACCAGTATAAATGTGATCAGTAGAAAGGGACAACGGCGGGACTCTGCATTCGAGCACAAGCTTTTGAAACGGTCCTGTTAGCCCTTTTTATAAACAAATATCACATTTTTATATTTTAAACGGCTGAAGAGATTACATTCTTATTAGTCTAAATCAATAACTGGAGTTTAAATTATATAATAAAAAATCTTTCAGTTTTTTTCTTTCATACTCTACAAACTGAGATATCACGACATAAAATTCTAATTCAACATTAATGTATAAATTCTTAAGTAAAAAACATCGTCACCATTGTTGTCAGCTACATGAGGTCATAGCTATTCTATTTTTGGTACATACAGAATAGCATTTTCTAAACCAAGAGCATGATTATGCTACATCATGTTATATTATAAACACGTGTACACTTACATAAATTTACACATACTCATTCTTTCTTTCTCTCTCTGGCTAGTGGCATTTAAATTCTAATATTTGCGATTTATAGTTTTAATATTTTTGGATACTGTATGTAGATTTTAAAATACTAAACAGAATGAGTAAAACTATGACAACTTGTATCCATATTATGCAAAAGAATAAGAAATAATTTTTTCTTTCAGGAAAAACAAAGCGTTTATATCGCTGTACTATGTCCAAATAATGACACATTGAGATCAGTTAAAAAGTACAATAATCTATTTAAAAATAATACTTTTTAATATATTTTATATTACATTATGCCGGCGTAAATTATAAAATATCTTATGTAAACCATTAACTCGTTTACTTTAATATTTTTATATTTTCACACGAATGCACAAATGCATATATATTTGCATATATTTGCATACTTGCGTATACACAAGTGTAAATATATGTGTTCTTGCATATATATGTAGTTAAGTGTAGAATGTGTTTGTACATGTATGTATGTAGATTTATATGCATAGTATAGGAATGAATATGTACACGTGGATTTCTATGCATTTACATTAAAGCATGTATCATTGTAGGAATTGATTGTGTGTGTATCTCAACAGTGTCGTAAAATAGTATCATCGTAGTAGTGTCATCGAAATCGGCAGAATTAAGTTTTAAGCCTTCCCGTGCAAGCCCGAAAGGAATCCCGAGGGTTTGTATTGTATTTCATCCTTTTGTTTTTCGTTATTTCAGAATTCATCACATATTCATGCAGAAAGTGAACGACCATTAACGCACAAACATTCAATTAATCTGCTCAACGAGTCACAGAAATGAATTAATTACTTGATAAGACTTTCGTGGTGCTCTGACTTTTACTTTTTCGTGCTGAAGAAATTTACGATCGTCGTTCTTTATTCACAGAAAAATAATTCGGTAATTTCTAAGCCTACATTAATTATTACCTGATTTAAATTTTCATTAGGATAAGTCGAAGTAAAAGATGCCAGTTGATGATGCCACTTTGTTTAAATTATTATCTAATAGTTGACAAAGCGTTTTAGTTTTTAAGTTTAACGTTAAACTGTTAACGCATCGAGTGACACGAGCAAGCCTTTTCAGGTTTATAATGTTAAATTTTAAAAATCTTGGATCTACTCACAAATCAAATTATGAATAGACTTCGTATAATATTGTACTCTTGTTTGTTAAAATCTTTTACAAGTTTTTGTCATTGAAAGTGGATTTATTTAACTTATTTTGAAACTATATATGAAATGCATGCATAAAATGACTGTCTTATGATTCGAATAGCCATTCTTTTCTATGAAATCTGTGTATGAAGAGTTAGAGGTAGCATTTTTTTTCTATTGGTTGGGAAGTAACGCCCTTACTGTTACAGTTACGTTTTTGGATAACAAACTGGTAACGGCGTTACATTTTGTTTTGTTTTTGTAACATGTTATGGTAATCTAGTTATATTTTTTTAGTAACAGTAATGATTTTAATTTTTTAAACCTTCTTATAACGTAATTTTCGTATATTTATGTACTCTTCAGTTTTCCATTGATCTTTATAGTCCATTGTTATATTTAAGATCACTTTAGAACAGTTTTGTAGATAGCCTCTAGGAGAGAGAGGCGCCAAAGTTCATGTGACTACGAGTAAAAATGTGGCCTATGATATATGTATATTATAATCTTACAACTTAATTGTTCATCTCGTTTAACTTACTCCGCTTTTCTCTACACGTCGTTGTGTACGAAGTTTTCATTATTTGAAACAGTGCTGCAAGTCATCATGTGTCAATCCCTTCAGCATCGCCGCCGTTTTCTCCTTTATCTCGTCCACGTTTGAAAATGGGTTCCCTTCAATGCGGACTTTACTGTAGAAAATAGGTGAAAGTCACACGGTCAGCAACTAAATCCGGCGAGCAAGGTGGTCCAGCAATGAGATTCTCTTATCAGCCAGAAACTGCTTACGAATAAAGCATTGTGAACTGAAACATTATCTCGTGATAGAGAATCTACCTGTTGTTGTTCCACAACTTAGGCCTCTTCTTCTTCACTCGTTCTCTCATTGTTGATCAGATCTTTATTACCTTAAGGTAATAAATAAATACTACTTAACTTTTAGACTGTGGACGAAGCAATGGAGAAAAATGGCGGTGGTGCTGAAGGGATTGATACATGATGACCTGTAGTACTGTTTCTAATAATGGAAAATTTGTATGCAACGGTGTATAGCTAGAGGCTCCAATCTCGTTATTTAATAACCACCCTCGTAGTCTTCAGCAATTGGTCAGCACTCTTCTATCATTGGTGTAAGATGCTACTCAAGGAGCAATAGCATTAGCGTGACGGATTACTTTTTGTACATGTATACCGAGGTATAATCTTTGTAAGTTTACACAAGACTTAATTTTTTTATGTATTGTGAATGCTATAATCTTTGATGAATGTATATTTAAAACAAAAACATTAATTCTTCTTTTTCTTCTTCTCCATTGTGTTTAATATCGAAGTACAACATAAGATCACGAGGATATATGAATAATACTGAAATTATGTTAAGATAATTAATTTCTAAAGTGATGACGTTGTCACGATGTCATTTTTATATTTCACCTGTGCAATTGGATTTGGCTACACAAGCAGCTACCGTCATTTCCGAGATTTCTAGTTCTGTATTGCAAAGTCATCATGAAGTATAGTTAATCATACAGAAATAATCCAATTTTGATTTATTTTTAAAAAAGTTGCGTTAAATTAAATCGAATTTATTGATGCTTTTCCACGACGCTGCTTTGTAATCTTATTAAACCACCTCACAAAAGTCATTATTACTACTACATCGTTAGCACAGCTTGAAACCGCCCATCACACACGCGGGAAAAAGACAACAATACGCGCGATACATTTCAACTTTAAACCTGCATACTTCTTGAACATGCACTTCTTGGAACAAATGACTATTTTCACTATGGATGGCTGGAGGGAATGGGATGGAATTTTCACAGGCTACTTTCAGCACTGTGAAAGCTCAAGTGTTCTTTTGCAAAAAATTACGAAGCAGTTGTGACCATTATTTGATTCATATTGTCACAACATGTCTTAACGGGGGCATCTTTTCCCGATTTATCCTATACTTCGACGAGGAATCATATCTCTTTTTTCGACATTCTATGTCTAACTTCGCAAATTTTTTTTTCTAATAATTTCAGCAAGGTATCACGTTTAGTATCAAACACTAAATATAAAACATCTAAAATGGAAATTGAAGAATGGATGTCGAAACATTATACAAAAGAAACTCCTGGCGAAATAAAGTGTAATCGTTGTGAAGAAAGTTTTTCTAATCACGATAGACTGGAAATCTTGAAATTTCACTTATATGATGAGCACGAGATAACAGAATTAGACGAACATCCAGAACGTGACATCATAGTGCAAAATTATACAATAACATATCTAATGGCGAAATGCAACCATTGTAAGAGAAACAGTAATCTCGCAGTTAATGGCGTGCATAATTTAATAATGCATTTAAAAATTGTGCACTCGGATGAGTTAAAGAAGAAAAGATCACACATATGGAACAATTTTGATGAAAGGGGCAACAAAGCAATGTGCAAACAATGTGGGGAAACAATAACAATAAATACAGAGGAACCGACATCAAGTTTAATCAGTCACTTGCATTATTGTCGGTAAGTACACATATGAGAAACAAAATATCGATAGGTGTAAAATATGTAAGTATAATGATGAAATAATAATTGAAATGAACTGTGAATTTGTTATAATAACAACACAAAGTTATTGTGAAAAATGGAAAATTTGTACATTGCTTCTTTATCATTGGAACAAGTTATTATTTCAATTTTGTTTCCCTAATAGAGGAAGTTTGTGAGTTTGATATTTTAATTATTTAACTCACGAGCTTTCTTTATGAGCAAGCCACAATTGAAAACATAACTTGCTTAGACTACGAGAAAGCAAAGTACAAATTTTCGATTTGTATTTACTTTTCTTACACTTTTTAATATAGACCATCTAAAATGACGGAAATTGAAGAATGGATGTGGAAACATTACACGAAAGAAAATTCTGGTGCAATAAAGTGCAATCGTTGCAAAGAAAACTTTTCTAATCACGATAGACTGGAGGTCTTAAAATTTCACTTATACGATGAACACGAAATAACAGAATTAGACGAACATCCAGAACGTGACAATATAGTGCAAAATTATAAAATAACATGTTTAATGGCAACATGCAATCATTGTAAGAGAGAAACTAATCTAACTTCTGGCGTGCATATTTTAATAACTCATTTAAAAATTTTTCACTTGAACAAATGTAAATTGAAGAAGAAAAAACAGATATGGGACAAATATGAGGAAAATGGCGGCGACAAGGCTACTTGCAAACTATGTAAAGAAGTATTTAAAGTATCATCGTATGAAGCACCAACAAGTTTATACAAACATTTATTTTATTGTGGGTAAGTACACATACGAGAAACAATTAAAATATTAATGAGTACAAAATAAATATAATTAGGATATTAATTTTATATCAAATTTAAAGAAGCACTTACTTTATTGTCAGTATGTGTACATCTCAGAAAACATTAAAAATATTGATGAATATAAACTAAATACAATGTAATAATATTGAAGAAAAGAGTGAATACATAACAGTTATAGTAAAGCATGCAATTATTGTAAAAATATTACTAATTTTACATCTCGTTAATTTTTTCATAAGCCGTTTAAATCTTGAACATCTAAGTGAATTCATATGGAGCAGATTCAATGTAATTGAAGAGGGGGATAAGGCTATGTGCAAACTGTGTAGTAAAACATTGTCAATAGATAGTAAATATTCCATACTGAAATTAAATCGACACTTATTACGTTATTGTCGGTAAGTACGAGAAACATTTGGAATATTCATAAGTGCAAAATAAACGTCATGAAATAATATCTATGGAAAGTGTAAATATGTAATGATAAAATAAAGTTATCGCAGAAAATAATTAATTTTATGTTTTATTGTGTTCATTTCTTTATTAGCTCCTTTAAAGATGATTCTGTGGACAAAGATCAGTTAAAGGAGACGCGAAGGAAATCAAAAATATGGGAAAAGTACAACGTAGTCCAACCCAACGAGAAAGCAGCGTGCAGAGGATGTAACAAATTAATATCGATAAAGGGTGCAACTCCCACATCAACTTTAATCAAACACTCACGTCTTTGTCCGTATGTATGCATTATAAAAACATTTAACATATTGACAGGTATAAAATAAATATAATATAATAATATTCAAGAAAAAAATAACAATATGTAACAATTATTGTAAACAAATAATTAATTATATATTTTAATCCATTTATTCTTTCATAAGCTACTTAAATCTTAATGCCCCAATTAAGTTATTGAGGTTTCGAAAAGGATCAAAAATATGGGAAAAGTTCCATGATGAAGGAGACTGTGCTATATGTAAACAATGTGACAAAAAAATTAAATTGCAGCCCAATAATCGAAAACTAAAATTACATGGTCACTTACCTGTTTGTCGGTAAGTATATGTATATATGTAAATAGCACTTAAACTATTCCTGAATATAAAATAAATAATATTTAAAGAAAGGGTGAATATGGATGTATGCAGTTATTACAATAAAATAACTAATTTTACATTTTATTGCATGTACTTTTTCATTTAAATAATAACCATTTAAATTTTGATCTTTTAAGGAAAGATAAGGTGAATAAATTACCAAGAAGATCAGCCGTATGGGACAAGTTTGATGTAAATGGCGACGTGGCGATATGCAAGCAATGTAAAAAACAACTGAAACTAACACCTGGTAAATCAAAGGAAAGTGGACCAAATCACAAGGTGATAGTAAATCACAAAGGTGATAGTAAATCATCAAGATTACACCATCATTTACGTTATTGTCGGTAAGTATAATAAAATAATGTTCAAGGAAAAAGTGATTATATGTGTAATGGAAATATGCCATTATTATAAAAAAAATAACTAATTTTACATTGTATTGCATTTATTCTTTTATAAGCAATTTAATTCTTGAAGACCTAAGTAAAGATGAGTTGAGAAATTTACGAAAAAGATCACAAATATGGGATAAGTTTGATATTGTTGGAGACAAAGCAACTTGCAAACAATGTAAACGAACATTGGGAATGAACTGGACTGCTCAAAACACATCAGGCAATTTACGGAATCACATAAAAATTTGTCGGTAAGCACACACACACACATAACATTTAAAATATTGATGAGTATACGAAATGAATATAGAGTCAAGTCTTCATTGTGCCTTTTTAAGGAATACAGAAGGACTCTCGCTCTTACATTTCCTTTGTCTTTCTTTCTTTCTCCTCTCCTCTCTCTCTCTCTCTCTCTCTCTCTC